TCTCTCTCTCTCTCTCTCTCTCTCTCTCTCTCTCTCATCATCATCAAATTAATATCCTCTTCTCGTGAATATACAACATTAGTTTTCATTATATTATTAAGATAACCATTAGAATAACTTCCTGTCACTGATAAAAAAAAATCTAACAACCTTATAGTGATTCTCTTTTTTTTTCCCTTGTGTCGTATTTTCCTTTTCTTCTTGGTCTATGTGTCCTTATGATCCCAACAGCCTCGTCTATTGTAACTCGACTTTTGTTTTTTTCTTCTTATTTTTCTTTTTTTTTCCCTGGTGATTATAAGTCAGTATCTGTTATCTGAGGGTGAACACATGAGGGTGGGCGAGGTAATAATCTAAGCTGTGTGGATAGATTAAATGAGTTCTATAAACGTTTAGGAGATTTAATTCAGGTTTTATGTATAGTTATAACCCATTTAGACTCGCCATAAGGAATTAAACCCTCCCCTCCACACCCTTCAGCCCCCACCCTTATCCCCCACCCCTCTTTACATAAGCATCCCATCTCCCCCCCCCATCCCAAAGTCCTGAACGGTCAACTATACCTGTAATCATATCATTACAGCTACATTAACGCATGAGCAAATTAGTACCAAATTACACGCTATTTAATTAAATGACCGCGAGCATATACCTTGCAATTAAGGGTTACCAGACATACATTACGACATAATGAAGGTTGAAATTATTACTTGCCAAGAAGCACATACAATGGACCTTTGGTGGGCCAGGGGTCTCTCCATCAAGGGGGGGTGGGGGGTGAGGTGAGAAGGTTGACATTATGCTGCCCTGTCTTTTTGTTTTGTTTCGTGTAATACTTTTCTGTGTTTGTTTGTTTTTGTTTTTGGTATGAGAGACTATTTGGTTGTATCTCTCTCTCTCTCTCTCTCTCTCTCTCTCATCTAAACCTCCTATATCATGTCTCACTCCGCGGTTCGTTGGTTAGACCACCTTGTCCCAATTACCGGGTAGACTCGCTAATTAGTCCTAGGAATGATTGTCCATAATCACTCGAGACGGATAACTTTATTCCTCCCTCGTGGCAGTCAGTAATTATCATAATTTGAACAATAATTCAAGTTTAAGGAATATGTAAACACGACTCGCTTACTTAGAATAAGACCCTGTGTGTGTGTGTGTGTGTGTGTGTGTGTGTGTGTGTGTGTGTGTGTGTGTGTGTGTGTGTGTGTGAGATAATAGAAACATGTACATTCAAACTTGGACGTGTACACACACACACACACACACAGACACACACACACAACACCACCACCAACTAAGAACTTCACCCTCAGCACCTACAGTAGAACAGACATGCAGCCTAAGCTCATCCTGCACCTTCTTCCCCTTCCTCCTCCAGGTGGTTCTCGCCCCCTGACGGAGGAGAAGGACGAGGGGGAGGAGCAGGAGGAGGAGGAGGAGGAGTCTCTGTAAGCACTACCTCTAACCAGGAATCCACTCCCAAATATGACCAACAATGATTCAGAACCAAACTGGACGTCTACTCAACACACGTGAGTATCCTGTCTTATTTTCAATCAATGTTTACCTGGTCATTATCTTCCAGGTAAGTTTTTACTTTTGGTGTGGACACTCTGAATGGCTTTTGGTTAGACCCCAATGGCCTTGGCTAGATACCAGAGGCCTTGTCTAGACCCAGTGGCCTTGCCTAGACCCTAGTGGCCTTGTTTAGACCCCATTGGCCTTGTCTAGACCCTAGTGGCCTTGGCTAGACCACGATCTTAACTTCAGGAACACGAGGCTTTCAGTAGATCTTTCGTTATAATCGTTTATTCTTTTATCATAATGTCATTTTTTTATCATATTTATTTATTATTACCATTAACTGAGCGCGTCTGTGAGGAAGGGTCTAACACAGGTGAGGACGGAGTGAAGTAGCAGTATACAGGTGTAGGAGGAGAGGTATTGGAAGGAGTGCCCAAGCTGGTGTAGCTGAAAGGATTCCAACCAGAGCTACAGGTGTATAGGACCCCCTCCCTCATCCTAGTAACGCTGTACCACCTCTATCCTTCTCCATCACTACCACTACCACAACACTACCATCATAACATCACCACCACACCACCATCACAGCATCACCATACCACGACTCTAACACCACCTCACCGCCATCACCTAGGTTCGGTGTGTCGGGGCCAAGCCTATCAAATGTTGCCTGGGGTCTATAAAGGTCGTGTCAGGGATCTGGCCTACCCGTCAGTGTCATCTGCCAGCCTATAAGCCTACCCGAACCTCCGTCTCAACTAAGGTAGAGAGAGAGAGAGAGAGAGAGAGAGAGAGAGAGAGAGAGAGAGAGAGAGAGAGAGAGTGAGTTTTGAAGATCTTGAAGTTTATGTTTTTGTGGGTCGAAATATCTTGCTGGCCTCGTGGAATAGGACGAAATGGAACATAACATAAAACTTGTATGCTAGACCACAACTCTAGACCATATAGATGTACACAACAGACCCACAGACCCCAGACTAGTGCCACAGACCTAAACCCCATACCACATACCATAGACTCCATACCACACAAACGAGTAACTCTGATCTCTCCTTTGGCTCCTGTCTCTAGTTACTAAATACTATCCTCTAACCATCATCCCTCGACTTCCCTCGTATCATATAAAAAATCAAAAGGTCTTCTTCCGTCGTTTCTCTTCCCCCGTCTACTAGCCTCGTCTTTCTTACGTCCATACTCGACGTCCTAAAGCCGTCCCAAAATCTCATCCCTTTCCTCCAGACTCGTCCCCCTTCTCTTCCTCCTCATCCTCCCCTACTCGCTTCTCATCCCGTTTCCTCGACTCATTTCCTCATCCCATTTTTCCTCTACATTATCGACAATCTTCTCCCTCCCTCTCTCTCTCTCTCCCTCTCATTCTCTCTTCCCGTTATGAATACTGACGTTGTTTCCGTTCCCCTTCATCATCATCATCATCATCATCATTCCTGTTGTCATACATCCGTCTAGATCCTCGGCTCTATCTCCTTGTTTTTATGACACCATATGTTGTCCCTCTTCATGTCATGTCATCTCCTCCTCGTCCCCTCACTTCTCTTTCTTCCTATCATGTCTCCTCCACCCCCTTCCTGTCACATCTCGTCCCCTCACCTATCATGTCTCCTTCTCGACCCCAGTCTGTCACATCGCCTCGTCGTTCCATCTCAAGGCTGCGTCTCCCAAGCTTAATCCTCTCAACCAGGACGCCTCAGCTACACCTCCTAGCCAGCCACACCTCCTAGCCAACCAGTCTATTCTCCTGGATCCTGCCACAAGCCACCATCCTAAGCCCAGAATCCACCTCCTTCACCACACACACTCACCTCACCTCTCACACCCTCTCACCTCACTCTCCCTTCGGTCTCCTTGTGGCACTCGAGCAGAATCTCTCCCCCCAGCAACTGTTCCTTCACTTCACCACATTCCCCCCCTATAGATCCTACCACAGTCGCTACCGCAGTTCATACTACACACCCCACCCAGTTCCCTGTCACGGTTTCCTCCCCTAGTTCCCGTACGTTCCCCGTCTCCCCTGTCCTTCCCCCTGTTCTCCCATCCATTCCCCAACTGTCCTGTCTCCCCTTTCTTCCCTTTCCATCCTTCCCGTCCTCCCATCCATTCCCTATCTCCCCCGTCCTCTCCCCGTTTCCCCTGTCCTTTCCCCGTCTGCCTGGCCCCCATTCTCTATCCCTCCATGGTCGTCCCCGAAGAGAATATAAAGGGCCCCACCTCTTCATAGCGAGCGTTGTAATGATAACCGGTGTGGGTAATATAATTGTGGCGAGAATTGATCACATTAGAACTTGATTCACTCGCCAAGGTGGCAACAGCGGCACAGCCAGGTGGTGTTGCCATATGTCGGGGCGCTGAAGTTATATTACAAACAAAAGCTGTGTGTGTGTGTGTGTGTGTGTTACAAATCCTCTCTCTCTCTCTCTCTCTCTCTCGCTTTAACTTGAATTATACACAAATCCAGAATGACAAGGCATGTGCGGACAACCTAGGAGCTGGAACAGACGCGCTGGCTAAATGAAATGACAACATTACAGCACAAAATGGTAATGAGACGTACTAAAAGCCCATTCAACCCAATGCTATATTACCATTATCCTAACTTCTGCTGGCTGCGACTTGGTCAGGAATCAAAGCAGCCGTGTATGTGTCTCTATGTGCGTGTGTGTGTGTGTGTGTCTGTGTTTATCTTATTTCGTATTGTTGTGTCAGAGTTTACGGGCTGCAGATGAATATGAAAGGAATAATCGTAAGCATGTTGTGATTTCCTCGTTTCCTCTAAGACTCGCATCTCTTAAGCAACTATATTATTTGCGTATCGAGAGCCTTCCACACATACATTTCAATCCTGTTAACATTACTACGTTCAGAACAAACACGCTATAAGCCTGATGCCTGGGACCTCGAAACTTAAGCCAGCGCCATGGTGAATCTGACACAACCATTGGATATAAGAGACCCGCCAGCTTTCTCATAATTCGCTGCCCGTTATAACAATAGCAGTTATGTTTGTATTCCATTACGTGGCTCCTCCCTCGAGGCGGAGACAAGGTCGACTCCGCCCATCCTCCTGGTTCTTCCACCCGCCGAGAGAGGACGTTAGTCGACGAAGATTTTTTTTTTCTTTCTTTACACTGACAGACGTTCTGCTAGTAACTTCTATTGCCGTTTTATGAAGTTAATTCCTATGATTGTTTGATCGAAAATGTTTCTAGTGATAAAAATACCACGTGTGTGTGCTGGGTCCTCGTACAGTTATCAGTAGACGCTGTGTATCGCTGTATTCTCCCTGATAAGAAATGATATTAATTGTGTAGGCGGAGTCGCGTTTGAGTTAACATCCTCGTAGCCAATGAACGCGTAGATTTGCGCCTAGCTCTACAATCACCGACCAATCAGGAGGCACCCCCGACATGGCGATCCAGGCGGTAAGCTCCATGTGTTGATCATGTAGTCAACATCGTGTAAGTGTCAACATTACTATCTAGGCTTCCTGTTCGCCTCCCCTACGTGCTGATGGGAACTTCTGGGACGCTGTGTCCTGTGTGAGCAAACTGCGACGTTGTGTTCATTTAAAATATTGACTCTTTGAAGAGATAGATCAAGTGCAGCGTCAGGAGGAGGATGTCGGGCGCGGAGGGGAGGGTGTAGCGGGTGGCGATGCCCTACTGCTGCTGCTGCTGCTCTGGCGGCTGGCGCTGGTCATGATTCCTACACCCTCTACCGTCATTCACACCCCCACGCGCCCCAAGCTGGGCTTTTCTATTGACAGTATCGTCGGGCGTGGGGGAGTAGAGGCGAGGGAGTCACCGCCCCTCTCACCAGGGTCCCCACGAGGGAGCCCACGACCCAGGAGCCCGCTGGGGTCCTTCCAAGATCTGCATAAAACACAAGTTCGGATCCCCGAGCCCATCCACCCCCTGGTTCCTACGTCTGTGCCTACGTCATTAGCTCACCACCCGGCAGCCATCCCGTCCCTACAGACTCTACACGGCCTCCATGTACCACAAGCCCTCCACCTGGCGGCTCTGCTGCCCCCTGGGACTGCCCATGGTTTGCACCCAGCAATGCACCCCGTCCTGCTGGGCCAGATGCCACAATTGGGCACGCCCTTACCCCCGGCGCCAGGACCCAGGGAGTTCCCGCTGTACCCGTGGCTCCTCTCCAGGCACTCCCGGCTCTTCGGCCACAGGTTCCCAG